ATCCTGTTCGCTTCATTCTCACTTGCTCCCGAAGAGATGAGACCAGTGGAGTATCTTAGATGGCCGCTCACAGGCTTTTAAGACCCCAGACACTACTCAATGGTGACTGACTTTTGAGATGGTTGGGAGGATTAAGTGAGATATAACCAATACATACAAAGTGCTTAGAAGAACACCTAGCACAGAGAAAATACTCCGTAAATGTTACCTGTTAATATTACCAAGGAGCCCTGGTGGTGCAGTGGTTAAGAGCTATGGCTGCTAACCAAGAGGTCGCCAGTTCAAATCCACCAGCTGCTCCTTGGAAACCCTGTGGGGTAGTTCTACTGTGTCTTCTAGGGTCACTATGAGTCAGAATCAACTTGATGGCAACGATTTTGGTTTTCTGGTTTATTAATATTACCAATGTTATTTCATTCCTCCATTACCTAAAAATCTACCTAGATAGCAGTGGGTTAACAAGAGCCCTCTTTTAAAAATGTAGATAGCTCTTAAGAAGGTTCAGGGCTATGAGCTATTCACTTTAAAATCAGACTACTTCCCTCCAACACCTAGCTGAGAGCACTTGCAATAATACAACAAGTAAGACTGATGTAGGAAGAGAAACACTCATTTGGAAGCACAGATGACTTTGGTAGGAAAAGGTGGGCAAGCAGAGGAGAGGGAGGCTCCCACTTCGGCTCATTAACCCCAAAAACAAACCCACTGCCCTCCACTAGATTCCAACTCATGGCACCCCTGCAAGACGGAGTAGAGCTGCCCGTAGGGTTTCCCAGGCTGTGCTCTTTACGGAAGCTGACGGCCACATCATTCTACCACGGAGCGCCGGGTGGGTTCTAACTGCCGCCCTTTTGGTCTGCAGCTGAGTGCTTTAACCACTGTGCCACCAGGGCTCCTTCAGACTGATTTCATTATTTCATTCATCCATTCCTGCATTCATTTGTTCATTCTTTGATACCAGTCAATAAAATCAAACCACACTTTGCTGTAAAACCGTAAAAGCACTGTAGACAACAGCCCACCTGCTCACGAGAACGCGTGGCGGGGACCCGGCCTCCGACTGCGGTTTTCAGCAACAGTCTCGGCCCCGTGGACGTTTTGGCAAGATACAGACTGCCTGGCTGTGGACAGACACGCTGCTGTTGCTTCATTTTAATTCGTTTATCCTGTCTATCTCTCGCATTCTGAAGATTTGTAATTAAATCTATTAAAGAATAAATAATTAGCAAACAATTAGACGGACTGTAATTTAAAAGCACAACCAATCCCTGTTTTACATTATCTATACATCAATTTTCTTTCAAGTGCAGAGACAAAGTATCCCTCTTCCCTTTTTAAATCTTCAAGGATGAAAAAAGTTTCCCAACTTGTAAAGCTATGTAAAGAATACAAATACATCAATTATTTTTATCTCAAACTCACAAGAAAATTAGTAGCCTGATAAAAAATACATTCTAGTCTAGCAGTCCCAGATTGCACGTTCAATACTTATTTTCAACAAGAAAGTCCACAAGTAGTTGCTTTTGAAAAGAAAAAAGAACAACTTAACCTATTTTTGGACTTAGAAAACTCTAAAGCATTAAAAACGTTTTGAAATGATTAATCATTACAAAAAAGGGGAAACCCTCAGGACATTATTTAATAAGAGAAGTATCTTCATACAATACCTAGTGGCTCTTCTCCGCCCTCTCTGAATGTGACAGCTGCTGCCAGATTGGGGTCATTTTTGTTGAGGGGAGGAACCCCACTCTCACTGACGTTACTCTCACCAGCAGCAGAGCCAGGCTTAACTGTATTTTTTTGTGTCTGTTCGTTGTCTTCCACATCGACCTCCCTGGCAGCGCACTGTTCATTTCTGTGAGAATGTGATTTCGTTTTAAACGGCGGAACAAAGACTTTGGTTGGTTTGCCTGAAGGAATCGAGTGTCTCGTTTTTTCAGTTCTTGTGGCAGGAACTTGGTAATGTTGCTGTCCTGAAGTGGACAAACTGCTGGAAGGTTTTTCCAAAGCCAAGTGTTCAACAAAATGAGACCTGGATAGAAATTCCTGACCAGGTGCAGTAAAATTCACATTCTGTTTTTCTTGCCGTTTTTTAGTTGTGCTGAAACAGGGAGAAAAAATTTTAAGTTTGACTTTTCACCAGCAAACGTACACATCTAAACGCTGAGGGATGTGCATGTTTTTGCAGACCCTGAAATGCTGACGATCCTAGTCCGCTAACGGTGTAGCACGCATCACAGCTGCCGTTCCAGACCATCCCAGGCTTTTCAAGTCTCTACGTTCTCACACCCTTCCTCCCAGCTTTAACTTCACCACCTTCTTACAGAGGAGAGTCTGTCAGATGTGGGCTCTCTGTACTTGGCCCCTCCACTTCTATCAGACTTGCTACCTCCTCTACCAGAGAAACACCCATCCATCCTCTCTTCTATAACCAACACCTTCACCTGTACTCGTGACCCCACAGAGCCAGCCAGTCTCCACGGGATCGCCGCTACTTCACTGATTCATCTCTCTTCCACCTCTTTATACCTTTTTATAGGGCTCCTTTCAGTTAGCCAGAAAGCCTTGCCCACCTTAGAACACTTCTCCCAGCCTCCCCGCTCCCTGAAGCCACCTTTTCTGCGTTCCCACATCACTGTTGTATCCAGCCGAGCGTTCATCTTCCGCAGTAACTCTTGTTTCCACGTCTGGCCCCCCGACTCGCCATCTGACTCGTTCATATTCAGCAGCACAGGATATATCAGGTACTTACAGCAGGTGCTTAATAAATATTTGTTAAATGCAAAAAACCCTTCCTATTTAATATGTAAATTAGGGTAATATACATACAAATAACTAAGCTTTCACTTCCTTCTTAATAGTACAACCTGTTTTTGAGAAAAATAAATGAAAACAAACCAAAAACATCACCTAGCTTTCTACACTCAAAGCACGTACATTTGCATCCTGCTGAAAAATACATTCTGGAAATACAGTCCATTAACTTTTTTTTTTTTTTTTAAACAATGCCGCAAGTAGTTATTTTTGAAAAGGTAACATTAAGATAATTTAAACCAAAATCTTTGTGTTTAAAAAAAAAATTGCCAGGTAGAAAAGATGTTCCAACAGTTTTCAACATTTTTAGATGTTTTTATTGATATTTACATCCATTATATCTAAGTGACATCCCTGCAATTGGTTCTTAACTTTTTCTGTTGATCTACCGTTTCACAAAAACGAAGATGTAGCTCTTTACCAACACCTCACTACACACACACGCGCGCGCACACACACGTAAATTCTCTCGCCTCTCCCCATCTTCCCAAGTTACATATTCAATTCCGTCAATACTCAACATTTCCATTATGACTGTATAAACACAATTCATGGTTCAATGTGCTAAACTAGTATAAAGCCTTCGTAGCATGTGTTTATATATGTACTTAAATCTTTCTTCTCCTGGAACAGTGTTTCTCTAAGTTTTGGTTAGTTTCTTTTTTTTTCTGATGTCTGCTAATTGCATGTCTCTACACACCTAAGAGCTGGGGACCAAAAAGCTGTTGGAAGTTCTTGGTACATACGTAGAATTTGCTAATGGTAAGTACACTGTTGACTGATTAACAGGAAACTTCGAACAGTGAAAATTTAGCTGCTGGCACTCTGGAAGCTGAATGGGGAAGAGTGCTCCTGGGGAGTCCTCAACATTCAGTGTGCGCACGTTACCTTGTTCCCCTTGCTTTCAGTCCACCGCTTCCAGCCTCAACAGTGCCTACTGGGTTCGCCATAAAGAGAACCTCTATCGTGCCCTCTCTGGAGAATGAGACTCTAGCCCTTCCTTAGAGGGGCCCAATTTCATGGAGGGAAGGAGAGAATTTGACTGTTTCTTAAACATATTTCCTCCCTCCTTATTCTGGCTCGTTTCCTCTCCACCGCCCTCGCTGAAGATGTCTGACATCATCCACTCCTGAGCTTCCGAGGTGTCTTTAGTGTGACATGGCTGGTTCTCCGCTCTCTCCACTACCAGCTTCAATTCCATTCTCTCCCGCTGTGCTCTCCTCTCCTGCTCTCCCTCTCCTTGGTGTGTGCACACGTCTACATAAGCTCCTTCACTTGGTTTTGGGAGAATTTTGGGAGGCGGTGAAAGTGGACGAGCATGTTATGTTCAATTCCCCATCTTTACCAAGAAAGTTTAATCTTAACATGAGGTATGCTTAATTTCATCTTGTTGGCAACAACTGTCCCGGGGCCCTCTAGTCTCCTGTTGCAAAGTGGTCTAGCTACCTCTCTAGCCTAGCTCCACAGCTGTGGCCACCTGAGGATTCCCTTGGCCTCTCCTGGGTTGAATTCTTGTCTTTTAAGTCCCATGTCTTCCTCCTTCTTGATTTATATACTTATTTCGGTTAGCTTTCCAAGCAAGTGCGTGGGAGAGAAATCTTTTGATACTTTCCATGTGAAAAATGTCTACCCTCACGCTTAACTGACATTTTGGCCAGTGACAGAATTCTAGGTTGGCAGTTTTTCTCTCTCAGAATTTTGAAGGCACATAATCTATATTATAGCACCTGTACTCTTCTAGATTCCGTTCTCGATGATGAAAGGATACACACTATTATGCTTCTCAAGACTTTATTCAGAACCTGCTTTTCTTTTCCTCTAGAAAATGGAAGGTTCCTCTTTGACTTTGGGGTTCTAAAAATTTCACACTGATGGGCCTAACTGTGGTCATTTTATTCATTGTGCTTACTCAATGGGCCTTCTTAATCAAGAAGCTCATGTAATTCAGCACAGGTAAAATTTCTTAAATATGTTCTTTGAAAATTTCTTTTCTTCTTTCTCAAACTCCAAATTTTCAGGTATCTAGACCCACAGGACTGACTTTTCCAATTACCTTTTCATCCCCCTCACCCATTTTTTTTTTTTTTTTGTTCTACATTCTGGGAGCTTTTGTGATTTTTATCTTCCATTACTTCTACTGGATTAATCTATTTCTGCCATGGTATTTTTAATTTCTTAGAGACCTTTTTATGACAACTTGTTCTTATTTCCAGGCTGCAGTATCTTATCTGAGAATACTGTTAAGTTCTTTTTTGAAGTTTTCTTCTTCTCGCATGGGCTGTTTCCTCTAAGTCTCCCCGCCCCGTTTGGTTTGCTCTGGGTTTTCTGTTTTGGTTGCCATCTTTCACAGCAGCTCTCTTCCAATGACCAGGGACCCCTGATTGTTCCTATTTAAGAGTAACGTAATAAAGAGCTGACTGGGAGCTCGCGTGCTGAAGCTTGTCAATTGCTGGCTTCACTGTCTGCTGATCTGGCTATATGCTGTTTCATTTGCGCACCTCCAACTGTCAGTATTTTTAGGTCTTTTCTGTTGGGCTGGTCACATTTCCCAGAGAAAAATCTTCCAGTATCCTGCCTAGAGGGCTGGCTGCCAGCAGTTAGGGGCCAGGCTGGAAGGAGGCTCCTTGGTATGTAGACTTGTACTTAGTCTCTGCTTTCAGTACCTTTTCCCTCACCTGTGCCTGGTGTCTCCCTTCACCTCAAATTCAGAATCCCTCTAACTCATCCTCTCCAGAGAACAAACTTCGGGTCTTCTGGGGAAAGAGGAAAGACTACCTGCCTGCTGCAGGGGAAGGACAGAGATGCTAGATGCTTCTTAAACAAACTGCCTACTAATCTTCCTATTTTCTGCCTCATCTTCAGGAGTACGTGTCGCAGCCACTTTCTGAGTCTTTCTCGGGCCCTTCAGGGGAAATGGGCGGCCTCTCTGCTGACTCTAATAACAGCTTACGTTTTAGCTTTTCTCATGGCAGTGACATAAGGTGGACATTATTTTAAAAAATATTTATTAAAAAAAACACTATTCCTACCTCATTATATTACTAGAATTAAAAAACAAACACACAAACAAACTAAAATGTCTTACCAAAATGGTACACAGCTAACTGGCTTTAAGGAAAGGTGATGCATAAATAATCTTCTATCTTTTATTGTGCCTAGAAAAAAATATTATTTTGCATTATACATTATTGAAAATCTAATAAAGGATTTTACTTCCTATGCCAGTTATGGTAATGTTTCACATACTCAAATGCAAAATTAAATTAAAAAAAGCAAATCCTAAAATTAAAAATGAATGGAAATGAATGAATGTGATCTAATTATTAAGTTGAACACAGTACTCTATAAACCCATAATAATATATACTCTAAGAACAAGAACAACTACAAAGAATTCTTAAACTTCCCTTAGTACTTTTATTGTTAGTAAGGTTTGAGAACCACCAAGTCAGAAGAAAGAAAAGAACAACAGAAGTACGTGCAGCTTTTTGAATATTCAACCCATTCTTTTTTTTTTTTTTTTAATTGTGGTGAAATATACACACCAAGACATCCGCCAACACAGTAATTTCCACATTTACAATTTGATGGCACTCATTACACTTTTCACGTTGTGCCACCATTATCGCTATCCTTTTCCAAAATATTCCACCACCGTTAACAAAAACTCAACGTCCCCCACAACCCATTCTGTCTTTTAAGATAACTTCCAAATCTCTATCACTGAATGACAGATAAGTTAGAGAATTCCAAAACGTTCCTGATTCCCTGTGGGATTTATCCCTTCATGTTTCAGAAGTAAGCCTCTATAGTTTAATACAATTATCCCTCACTATCCACACTCTTCTTATCCAAACTCAAGAAATAAATACTGAACAATACTTATATGTGTTTTATTTATTTTCAAGTAGTCCATGGGAAGAACTTTAGATTTCAGCGTAAATGAGACAGGGGTCATAGGGTGCTTTAAGCAGCCAAGTGACACGTCTGACTTCTGTGTCAGAAGGACGGACGGCTCTGGCTGCCGTGTTGAGAGAAGCCTGGTGGGGGGCGGGCAAAGGCAGAAGCAGGGAGGCCAGTTAGAAGCTATGATAGTGGCTGGTTGAGGGGGCAGAGGAGGAGGTGAGAAGGAATGAACGGATTCTGGTTACATTTGGAGGTTAGAACCTACAGGACTTGGGGATGGGTTGGATGTGGGGTGTGAGGAAATAAGAGTAAAAGATCACATCAAGGTTTTGACGCGGTTGCCTGGCTGAATGGCACTGCTCCTCACTGAGAAGAGAAAGAGAAGAGCATGAGCAGGTTTGGGGGCGGGATGGAATCAGTTCAGCACTGGGCATGATAACTTTGAGATGTGGATTAGAAATCCAAATAGAGGTGTATCAAGTAGGCAAATGAGTAGGTCAGCCTGGAGTTCTGGGGACGGGCTAAGGCTATGGATGTCACTCTGCTGGTCCCTGGAGTTTAGCCCAGACAAGCTCTAAGGACAGAGCCCCGGGGCACTCCTATATTTAGAGTAAGGAAAGAGTAAGGAAGAACCAGCAGAGAATGAGTGGAGAAGCCAGTGATACAGACAGAGAACCAAGAGAAGGCAGTGGTCTGGAGAAGAGTAAGCAAATGTTGCTGAAAGAAGAGTCCAATGAGGACTGAGAAATGCCCACCTGGTCTGGCAACGTGGAGACCACCGTGTGACTGACTTAGGAAAGAGTGATTTTGGTGACTGGTGGGGAACAAAAGCCTGACTGGGCTCCAGAACCTGAGCTTTTACTACACACTCAGGTTTCACTAAATTCTTATAGCTTTAAAAAAAAAAAAAAATCCAGAAATGCCATTATTTTATAATCATTTCACACTTCCTACTTACAGAGAACCTCTGGATCCTACTGGGCATTATGAAGGAAACGTTCATTTAAGAAACAAAGCAAGATGTAAGCTCACAGTTAAATTACACTGTAAAATATTTTCCAATTACATATATACTCAAAAGAAATGAGACAACAACTTCACGAATATAATGTATATCACTTATACAGGGGGAAAGATCAGGATAAAAAGCAAACTTTACCATCTGGAGTACTTTTTGAAGCTTGTAAGGATTTTTCTTGATTTTCCATTATCCTGTCAAATTCATTTAACAAGCTTCTTTTGATTGGGGGTTCTCCTAAAAGGAAATTTCCATACATGTTTTTAAAACAAATAATATCAATTTTATTTTTCAAAAGTCTGCTGTTGTTAGTTACTGCTGAGTTGATTCCAACTCATGATGACCCCATGTGTGCAGAGCAGAACTGTGCTGTACAGGATTTGCAAGGCTGTGACCTCTCAGAAGCAGATGGCCAGGCCTGTCTTCCAAGGCATCTTTGGGTGAGTTCGAACTGCCAACCATTTGGCTAGTAATTGAGCACTTAACAACTTGTGCCACTCAAGGACTACAGTCCATTTTTTAAAGTACTGCCTCTTACAATATGTTAAGTAAAAAATACATAATAATTATAATTTTAATAGTGTCATGGATTGAATTGTGTCCCCCCAAAATATCTGTCAGCTTGGCTGGGTCATGACTCCCAGTATTGTATGATTGTGTACCATTTTGTAAATCTGATGTGATTTCCTTATGTGTTGTAAACTATACCACTATGACGACGTTACATGCGATTTCCTTACGTGTTGCAAACTCTATCAACTATGATGAGGTTATACTGATGAGGTTTACAAGACTGGATAGTGTCTTAATCCAATCTCTTTTGAGGTACAAAAGAGAGAAGCGAGCAGAGACACAAGGGAAGCTCACACCACCAAGAAAGCAGCACCGGGAGCAGAGTGTGTCCTTTGGACCTGAAGTTCCTGCGCTGAGACGCTCCCAGACCAAGGAAAGACTGATACATCACAGGGACCTTTCTCCAGAGCTGACAGAGAGACCCTTTCCCTGGAGCTGATGCCCTGAATTTGTGGACTTGTAGCCTACAGGACTGTGAGAGAATGAACTTCTGTTTGTTAAAGTCATCCACTTGTGGTATTTCTGTTGGAGCAGCACTAGATGACTAAGACAAATAGTGACCATTTTAATTTGAAAGAGAAAATTCATTTTTAAATATCACTCTAATGTCTACTAATTTTTTCCCCCATTTTAAATAACTTAATAGGGTCTATCTGATAGGGTATAGGAATAAACAGGGAGTCCCTGGGTGGCATACATGGTTAAGGCCTGGCTGCTAACCCAAAGATTGGCAATTTGAGTCCACCAGAGGCTCCTTGGAAGAAAGGCCTGGCAATCTATTTCCAAAGAATCAACTTCTGAAAACCCTACGAAAACAACTCTGACACATGTGGGGTCGCTATGAGTCAGAATCAACTCGATGGCAACTGGTTGTTTTTTTTTTTTTTTTTAGAGATAAACAGATGTTACCAGGTACGACAGATAAGCTACTTTTTAATAAACTGGCAATGAATGTAACTCTAGGTTTACCGGCAAAAAAGAAAAACAAAATTTCTGCAAAGAATCTTTTTTTGGCATTAAATTTACAGAGGAACTACTATAGAGGTCCTGCAGTTAGAGTCAGGGAAGAGAATAGGTTTGTAGAATTACCAAATTATGTAAAAATACTAGCAAAACTAACACTTCTGATTTAAAAACTCTATAAAAGCTGAGAGAACAAAACTGAACCCTAACTCAGATGATAAATGTCCATGTCGTGCTGAGACAGTACGTGCTAACAGCTGTCTTGCTTTCTGATGCTTTATTACAAGGAAGGGATTTACCAGGTTTAGTAAGTAAAAATGTCCATGCAAGGCTTTATCAAGGGTTAGATCATTATAAAGTGATTCGGTTTAACAAAGACCTATAATGTTCAAACAACCAAAAGCTGATTAAGCTATATTGCTTACATATAACAGAAGAAACCCTAGTGGTGCAATGGTTAAGCGCTCAGCTGCTTACCTAATCTGCTTTCATAAAGACCACAGCCTTGGAAACCCTATGGGGCAGCTCTACCTGTTCTATAGGGTCACTATGAATTGAAATCGACTTGACGGCAACGGGTTTTACATAAAACAGAAATGAAGAAAATTAAATAAAGATGCCTTTGAGCATATTTAGGATATTTTTTTCTAGGCAGAAGAACAACTCACTTCTGCACTTCAAATTCTGCAGTCGACAACAGAAAATAGTTTAAGTATTATAAACTTGCTACTTTTCTTACAAAGGAATTTAGCACAGAATGTGACCTAGATGCTATTGTTAGGTGTCGTTGGGTTGGTTCCGACTCCACGCCCAACAGAACAAAACGCTTCCTGGTCCCGCGCCATCCTCACAGTCGTTGCTGTTTGAGCCCTGCCGTTGCAGCCACCGTGTCAGTCCAACTCGTTGAGGGTCTCCCTCTTTTTTGCTGACCCTCTGCTTTACCAAGCATGATGTCCTTCTCCAGGGACTGGTCCCTCCTGATAACATGTCCAAAATAAGACAAAGTTTCGCCATCCTCACTTCTGAGGAGCATTCTGGCTGTACTTCTTCTAAGGCAGATCTGTTCTGTGACCTGGATGTTGTTTGCTGTTAGGCGCCCACTCAGAGAGTCGGTTCCCACTCATAGAGACCTCTTGTACGGACCTGGATAGCACTTGATTAAGTCAAACTCTTATTTACCAGGATGACTTAAAGGCAAAAGGCACCAAGTGGAGAACGAACTGACTGGACTCAGCTTCTTTCTGTGTAACATGAAGGGATTGGCCAAGAGACTTCCGATAACTCAAATATTCTACGAATCTGTAACTTTTTAGAAGGAGCTAGCTATTTAAGGGTGTTCTTAACCTGAATGCTCCTTAGAAGCAAGGATGGCAAGACTTTTTGACTCGCTTACTTTGGTCACTGGGAAACACCAATCACTAGCCAGGAACATCATGTTTGGCAGAGAAGAGAAGCAATGAAAACAAGGGAAACCCTCAATGACATGGATCAACACAATGGTGGCACAATGGACTCAAACAAACCAAAATCCATGACGATGGTCCAGGACTGGGTACATGGTTCTGTTGTACGTAGGGTCACCATGAGTCAAAGCTGACCTGACGGCCACTGGGTATTCTCAGCGTCTTCCAACCTAGGACGCTCATCTGCCAGCACTCTAATGGACAATATTCTGTTGTGATCCATAGGGTTTTCACTGGCTGATTTTCGAAAGTAGATCGCTAGGTCTTTTTTCCTATAACTACAAGATAGCATACCAGGACTATTAAGGTCTTTAGTTTTTACTGATTTGCAAACCAAAAGGAAAAAGCAGAAACTTACCAGCTGAGAGAAGTGCATTTCTTCTTTTTCCAATTCTTGAATTTAACATAGCCGTTTCCTCATTTTTGGGGCAGGTAAACTGAGAATGTCTGGCACGACTTGGCAGTTCAGAATCTGTCATCTCGTCGTCTTCCATGAAAGCTCTGGCAATCTCTACTGCTTCTGTTTCAAAACAGTTTTCTGGATCTTTGGAGTAAGTAGAACGAACTTCTACATTTGTTTTCACAGGAAGATTAGAAAAAGTTTTGATATTACCAATTTTCATTTTTATATTTCTAGGCAAAGTTTGTTCTTTTCCCAAAAGATAAACGTTCTCAACTAGTGACGCTTCGGTTCCTGATGCCAGCTGCTGTTTACCTTGCTTACGCTGAGAGAGATGCGGAGAAACTTTAATAGACTGACAGTTTTCTGAAGAACCACTTTCATTATGGTTATCTGACAACTGAAATTCTTTATTGTAGGTTTTCTCCATTTTGGAGTTTACACAGTGTTTTGGGATTCTCTTATCAACGCAAGGAAATATTTTTGATACATCTCGTCTAGATGTTGGTGAGTGATTACATTCAGTCGTGATTAGATCAAATTCCTCTAACATTCCCTTAACTTTGTGTAAGGCACTTTCAGAAATTAACACCTGTTTTCCACTTGCTGTACTAAATCCAGAGGGGGCAGATGAATTTATCACACTAGATGAGAAGCCTTCTTGGGGTGATGGCAATTTGTTTTTGGTGTGTATCATAGTATTTTTTTCTTTTGTGAACTTGTTTGAACGTTCATTACTTTTAAAGGATACTCTGGAAAAGAGATGCTTGGCACTATCTTCAATCTCAGAAAACATCTGTCTTGTCTTTTGTAATGAAGCATCTGACACCTGTACAGATTTCCCACTTGCTGTGCTAAAAATCCCACAAACATTTGTAGAGGAGATAGACTTGGGAAGCATCTCTGTGTTAAGTTTACATACGTCAGAAGTATTCAAATTAACCTGACAAGGTGGTATTTCAGAAACTTTATCCAATTCAGGCATACTTTGGTTATGTGGTAAAATTTGTTCGCTTTGAATGTCAAGAGCCTTACAGGAATGCATACTGCATTCTTCGCCATCTTGAGAGTTAGGAAAAATATTATCTTCTGAACCATCTAATGCTGTATAGCAACCTGCCACAATTTTTGTTTCAGAAGTACCTGATTTACTCTCAGTGCTCTGTTTACCGCCCTTACTGGAGCTGTCTGCAAACATCTCGCTCACTCTTTTTATTGTCTCATGTGAAACAGAGACGATTTTACCACTTGCTGTACTGAATACAGGTGGTCCTACCTCAAAATTACTTGAACCAGACATAGCGAATTCAGTGGCTGCGTTTTTATTTTTGCACGGTGAAGTGTCAGTCACAAGTTTCTGAACACAAATATCTTCACTTACAGTTTGTGGGTGTGTGTTTGCTCTTCTTACTGTAGATGTTACTTCGGAAACACTGGTGCTTTCTCTATCTTTAACATTCTTCACCACTGGCTCAATATCAGAATTGTTCACTTTATTATTTGAGAGATACCCTGATTTATTATGTACCTCATCTGAATCACAAAAATCAGAACTGGATGAACAGTTATTACTTAAGTAACTTAAATCTTGTTTTTCAGAGAGGTTATTTTTGTCGTTTGCTGTTATGATACTATTTGAACTATCTCCATATGAAGGATTTCCTACACAATCCTGAGGGTATTCTTTTAAACAAATACCCTTGGCAGCATTTATTTTTCCCGGTTGATATTCCAATTTTCCTTCTCTAAGCCATTTTTTTGCTTCAAATAGTGATGTCTGACTCACAGAAATTTGCCTGCCATGTCCTGTGTAAAATGCTAAAGCTGGATCTTTGTTGGCTAAACAAGTTGAACGGTTTGTGTAACAAGTCGTAGGACTTTTTGCTGTTTCTTTTTCTATATTTTCATGTACTTCAACTTCCAAAGAAATATTATTTGATGTTTTGAGATTTCCAATGTGGCTATATAAATTATCATTTAAGAGCCCTGTGGTCTCATCAGAAACAAGGTTTCTCTCATTATTATCTAGAGAATTCTCCATTTCTTCAGACCTTAAGACAGTAGTTATCTCAACTGTCCCACACGCTAATTCAAGCCTTTCTTTACATTCCTCTCTCTCCTTTAGAGTCTTTGTCCCTTGATGGCGAAAACTGGAGATTTCACTAGTATTATCTTGCCTGTTTTCATCGAAGAGATTTTTCACTCTGTCCAAAGATTCCTTTGTAATTTGTACTTTTTTCCCACTAGCTGTACAAACACCCAACATGGTAGGTTCTCTGGTCTTCTCAGTTTCATGTTTGGGTGGTTGGCGGATAGTCAGGAATTTATTTTCGGTACCATCTGGATTACTTCCTTTCCGTATTTTGTTTTTAACCATATTTCTTTCCTCGTAACTTGAACTGTCCATTTTGTTCTTACTTACGTCAGAAAGCAATTCAGAGTTCAAAGAATCTGAAAAGTTACTCAATTCTTCTGCATATGTCTTATCAAATAAATTCACCACTTTATTTAATGATTCTTTGGCGACTCTGACATTTTTCCTACTTGTAGCCTGAAAGGGTAAATCAGATATGTCAAAATCTTTCACATTTTCCCCCATTTTATTAGAAGATGACTGTTCTTTATTTGAAGTATCAATATGAAATGTTTCTTCAGCTTTCACAACTTCCAAACAAGTTACATCTGACAAACCTTCTTTAATTTCATTGTTTCCCCCCTTTATAAACTGGCTAGACATTTTTAGATACATGCTATGCTGATCGATCAAATGTGGCCAGCCATTTTCATCTTTATGACTATAAACTACAGCATCTTTACTTGAATCATTGCCATTGGATTCTCCTAAGTTACAAGTATTTCCACTGGTACCAGTACATTTGTTTTTTTCATTTTCAGTGTTTCTCTTGCAATCTGCAGTATTCCCTTCAACGAACATGCTAGCAGTCATGTCAACATTATTCTGTAATATAAGTGGGCATTTACTGTGTTTCTCATTCAAATTTTTATCATTGTTAAAATTTTCTACCTCAGGCACAGAGACAACAGAAGCACACTGACTTGAAGAGAATCTTCTGGGATGTACTTCTGCAAAAGTGTCCTCACAAGCGTTCTCAATATCACTGAACAGTTTCAGAGCGCTCTGCAGAGCTTCACTAGAAACGTTTATTTTTGTGCCAAGTGCTGAACAAAAGCCCGTAAATTTCTCTTTATTTTTATATGTTAAACAGTCGGAAGCACTTTCGTTACAGTTATTTTTCAGCAAGCAAGCAACCTTTTGCTTATCTCCAACCGGACCATCCAATTTCTTGCTGTTATCTACCTGACTAGTAGCTGGGGCATTAGTTGTGACACCAAGATCAACATCTTTCCAATCATCAGAAGAGTTACTCAGGATAGTCATTTGGTTTTCAGATCTTTCAAATGTATTATTCTTTACTATGTAGCTTGGTTTTTGGAACTGTGTAAATTCAAACTGACTTCCTGATTCTTCCAATATAGTAGAAAGCTCTGTAATTTCTGCCTTTTGACTAGGTGTTAAATTATGGTTGGAATTAAAATCTTGCTTTAAAGATAAAATCCGAGGAGCTGTGTGACCATTTCCACTATCAGAGACAAATGCACTGCTCTGCACGTCCGCAGATGCAGTATTCAGGGTTTGTGAATCAAGTGCGTGAGGTTTGTTCAGTCTCTTTTGATTATCTAATGGTAAGGCATTTACAATTTTGACACAAGCTAAACTTCTAGGATACTGGTCTTCAATATCTTTGAAGAGTGCTTTGCTTTTCTTAATGTTGTGTTCAGAGAGTTTTATGTCTTTATTAGAAGCTGTTCTGAAGCCACCTCCAAAATTGTAATTTGAAACTGGATCCAAGGGCCCTGCACATCTTTCTGTGTAATCGTTACTTCTGCTCGATTTCATATCTATCTCCAAGGAGATGTCTGATTTTAAATCTTGACTTACAGTCATTTTTAGATGCTGCTTTTCACTATTTCTGTCCCCCTCTGTAAGATCATGGGCTACATCTGAAGAGTCACGATCTTTTATAATCAGTACCTGGGCTGCTTGTTCATCACCTATGTCTGAATACACTACCGTGGTAGAGTTCTTGAGAATGGCTTCTTTTACACAACTGAAGCTCGCCTCAGGAAGTTCCTTAGTATTTTCTAAAACAGCCATATTCCTTTTATTTGTCATTTGAAAGACAAAATTATCCTCATTCTCTGGGAAAAGTTCTTCAGAATTTGGATTGACAGTTATTTTAGAAGTTAAAGCAGTTTCTTCTTCATCTTTTTGGATTACTGTGACATTTGTATTTTGGTTAAATTGCTCCTTCACAGAAGGTGATGCTACTTTCATGTATTTTTCGGGTGGTGACAGCTCAGCTTTTTTCGAATTTTCATTTAAGACACATATTTCTTGATTTTTTTCCAGGGGAATATTTTTGGTTAATTCAAAAGTGGCTTCACAATTCTTACGTTTTAGTTCCTCTGACATTTTATGTGATTCTTTTTCTCTAGAAATCACAACTGGGTTTGACAGAGGATCCCTGGAGCTAGGAGTTGCAGTAAGAGTGCTGGCATTCTCCTGGTCATATAAAAAGCTTCTCTGGGGTTGCCAGTGAACACCACTGTGCTCTACTTCTGAACGTCGTACTGCAGGGTGACGTGCTGCAGCCCAGACCTTTCCTGCTACATCTGAAGCTCTCTGGCCTGTTGGATGATCCTCACGATGACTTTCCTGCAGGCACGACGGACCGTCAGTTTCTGTGATTATAGATGACTGCAGTTCTGTATTAATTTTTGTTTCTTTGTAATCAAGATCTTGAGATATTATTTTATTATTAGAACTGCTTTCATTATTGGAACTTTTTCTCAGAACTGTCCTGAAGGAGCTGGTTAGGGACAAAGTTGGTTCTTCAGTAACATTCTGTAAACTATTTCTTTTGATAGAAGAATGCAATAAACCTAAGCATAAAGACATAAAGTGGCAAAATAAAATTTAAGTGTCACTGATCACAGTCACTAAATAGTTTTCACTAAGAAGGCAGTACCTAAAACAAGAATTACATGAAGAGCAGTAAGGGAATGTCACTGATTTAAACAAAGAATTCTAAATACTCTCTATTTTGAAATTATTGTATTTTCCAGCTGAAGATAAATAGGAACTAGTATTTTTTTTACCATGTGTATCAGCTCAATCATAATTAGTATGTAGTTCAAGGAGGTGGCTTGCTACCATATACAAAATTCAAAGTGATTTTTATCAGAAAATAAGTTCATTGTTAATACTAGAGCAATAGGAGACAGAAAAGTAATGCAGAGGAAAACAATTAGAAAAATAACCATTTCCTTTAGTTAATCCTGGCTTTCATATTAAAAGAACACATGCCAAATTTAAAAACAGGCTCTACATAGAAAGGGCCTGAAAGATGACCTAATCTCAATGACAAAGCCAAATGGGTTAAACTGCTCTGGTAAGTTAATTTCTCAGTCCTCTGAATTTTCTATCGAGCAATTCAAAATTCTTAATCAGTGACCATTACTATATATTAACTGTTTTTTGGCTTTAACTCTGATATCTAAAGCAGCAAACATTTTTATCTGGAAATTAATCCAAACCTAACACACCTTCTCTACTCCAGCCCCACCAGTTTCATATCCACCAGGCCATCATCACCCACTAAAACTCCCAGGAGACAGAAAAAAACTTATTTTAAACACATAGTTTAGCTACTGATAAGCGAATGTTGTTATTGTTGTTAGGTGCCAGGGGAGTCAATTCTGACTCATAGTGACCCCACGTGACAGAGTAGAACTGCACCGTAGGCTTTCCCAGGCTATAATCTTTACAGGAGCAGATCGTCAGGTCTTTCTCCTGAGGAGCTCCTGGGTGGGTTCGAACCACTGACCTTTCGGTCAGCAGCTGATGGCTTAACCACTGCACATCCAGGGCTCCTTGATAAGCAAATAGTTGCTAAAATAAAAAATGAGTTTCACTGTGCACACTCTGGACACCCAGAGATACAGCGATAATTTTAAACGATCTCAAAATACCTAACTATACAACCAAAAATACCACTTCATGTCAGGACCGCCTTGCTTTAAAAGCCACTTCACGTCAGGACCGCCTTGCTTTCAGCTTAGACAACAGTTACCTCTTTTCACATGCTTCAGAGAACATACATAGTATGTAACACAACAGTTTTAGAGTTGTCCAGTTTGCTACCATATACTAATAAACACTTTCAAATAAAAGTAGAAAATGTTTAAAAAGGCAAATTTTTAACTTATATTTTACCAGAATCAAAAAAAAATTAAAGCAGGAATTTAGTAGCCAAGCCTTTGATGCTTACAAACCCGTCACAAGGGTGACGGTTACATCTATGCAAACCGATCCAACAAGTCTGAATGAACTGATTCTGGGCATGGCAATTAAAGGCCTCAACAATAATACAGTGGACACCACCTGAGACTAACTACAGTATACACAGATTAAAAACAAAAACAAATTTAAAACTACAGAAGGAAAGCTGGCTGTATGTTTAAAAAGAGTAAAGAAAAGAAATTCACATATTCAGAAAAGAGACCTTGTCACCATCATAAAACTATGTGCATTATTCACAATGAAAACAGGTACCTGAATCAGTATTTGTAAATGTAAGCGGTGCTTCGAACTGGGCTGAACAGGTAGCTGGTTCGGATTCTTGATCCTTCTGTACTTTTTCTGCCAGATAAGATGTTTCACCATTTATAGAATAAATAAACTTTTTTGTTTTCTTTTTCAAAGTGGATAATAAACCTGCATTCTTCAAAGTTACAGAAGCATGTTTGGTGGTGGCTGGGCAGCTTCCACTATCAACCCAACTTGGACATAAGGAACCCCCTCTCTGCGAGCAATCAGCATCTATTTCCAACCCACCTTCAGAAGCTTCAGGTTTTTCTTTAAAGTTTGAATCATTCACATTATCTGAGAAAACTGCACCAAAAGTCTCGTCAGGTGATTCTCTTACCCTGAAAACAGACTTTGTGATACCCTGAGATGGAGAAGCTACTGGAGAAGTTCCAGATACTGTTTGCTTTACTGCAAGAATGGAGTCATCATGAGACACAAGACTCTGTCCTTCACTGCTCTGAGCGACCGCTCTTTCCTCATTCACTATCTTCTCTGTTTCTGGGAGACTTGAAATACGTGGCAAAGAATTTTCTGAAGTAATAAAGTTGGCACATTCTTTCTCTGTGCCTGTTAGGTCTTTTTCCGAATTATTCTGGTCACAAGAAGTAGGTAGTAAGGGTATTTTCTCCATCTGCATTCCATTTAGGCCCGAGAGGGTTAGCTGAGACCATTCAGAGGCTGAAGCTGCCACAGCCTCCTTGGACCCTGTGTCGCTAATATTCCCGGTGGGTTCCTCATCTGGTACATTGCAGTCTAATGGATCACTGTCATCTGGTTCCATTTCAAATGCAAATAAATGTTCATGTTCTTCCAGTTGTTTTTCAGCGTCTTCACATTCACCAGCTTTTGTTCTATTGAAAACTTTTTTCCTAGTCCTGCCAGTTTTTATTTTTTGTAGATCTCCTCTTTGATATTTAGTAAGACATAGTGAAAAACTATCTTCTTCAGAAATACCTGCAACAGTTTCACATACTTCTTCTTCTACAGCATGTGGCACTAACCTTCCAAGGTGGTCTTCACAGCTACTCACTTCACCGAATACATTCCCTAGCATTTT